TTTGCTAGGATAATCTTTTTTTTTAAATGATTTATAAATACAGTTCATCTAATTAGTTTATTCTCTATAATTATAAGATTAGTATTTTGTTCTTATATTAATACTTACTTATTTTATCTATTTAATATTTTTTCTAAAATTAAATCTTTCTTGCTTTTCTTCTTATATATTTTATTATTATATCTTATTTTTGCTTAAATTATTAAGTATTTTTTTTAATTATATTAATATATTTTCTTTGTCTACTTGCCTTATCCATTCTATTTAGATCTTTTTATAATTTATTATTTATTCTAGTTATTATTCTTTATCTTTAATTAACTATTTTAATTCTTTATTAGAATTAATTTTATTATTAGCTATTCTATTAGCTTTGCTAGTATTAATTAAAATTAGTAGAATTTTAATTATAATTTACTTTTTTAAATCTAAAATAGCTGATTTCTGATTTTTTTTTAATTTTTAGCATTTATTTATAAAATAACCTAGTTTTTTATAATTAAAATAAGCTTTGTCTTTTTTTAGCTTATCTTTTTTTTCTTTAGATAAGATTACATTCAGCTATATAACTATATCTTTATTATAGTCTTATAATAGATTTTATTATATTACTTGGTTTATTCTGAATTGTAGGAATCCTCTATATTTTTTTTATTATTAAAACTCTTATTTTTTCTATTTAATCTTAAACAGCTTATTATTAATCTTAATAGCTATTTTAATAAAGTTATTAATATTTATTAGTTAATCTATTTTAATTAATTCTATTTAGACTTCTTCTTTTAATATATTTTTAAATATAGTAATCTATACTCTATTATTATATCTTAATAATACTATTATCTTTTAGAATTCTATTACTAGTTTCTAAGCTAATCTAGTTTATTATAAATATCTTAGTTTTTATTTAGTAGTATATATTTTATTAATATTTCTAAATAACTATATAAGTTGTTTCTTAAAGCTAGCATAATTTATAAATATTTTAATAGTAATTATATTCCAGTCTTTTTATACTAAATTATAAAAGTTGTCTATTATTAACTATATCTAGTTAGCTATATTATTAATAAGATAAGTTATAATAAAAATTATTTTATTATAGTCTTATTTAATTTTATTAGTTTTTATATATATACTTATATTTATTAAAAATAATTTAAGTTTAGAATATATTTTATTAAATTTTATTAATTTTAATAACTTAACTTTATTAATAATTAATAGTAAGCTTAATATTATCTATGCTTCTAATTATTTAATATAATCTTTTTATTTAATTTCTTCTATATTAGATTTTCAATTTGTACCCGGGCAGCGGCACTAGGCTCAAACAGTCACTATTTTCCGGCTTGCGTGGTACATTGGCTCCCGCCACGCACTTTACCAAACTATCACCACGCACTCTGTACTCAACCCCATCGGATCCACTTCCACAGCTAAAGTGTCAACGATTGTTTTATTCAGCAAAAACTGTTCCGATTCAGTAACTACTATTTAAGAGCAGTCTAAGTACTTCGTTAAGGTTTCTATCAACCTTACTAGAACCCTTGTCCTATCTCCCTCTTTTCTCATTCATCCTTGCGAAGTCTGAATTCTTCCCAGGACTTCTTAATCAGTTTTTTTTCTTTCTTTTTTTTTTTTTTACTCACGCTGAGCGATGCCTAATAAATATTGGACTGACGACCCTGATGAGACGGAGACAGGATCTGGTAGGAGCTATCAGACGTCGGATCCAGATATCACCGAGCCAGACGAGAACTCTCGTAGTATACCGACTCGAAGCCAGACACCACAGTCTCAACGGAGAACACATCCTCCTCAACAACTACAAGGGGGCATTTCAGCACAAATCACTACCTCTAAAGGTCGAACATACAAGGATCCGGATATTGATACTACGGAGAGACTCTCCGATATTGATCCGAATTTCAACCGAGCTGAAGGCACTAAGAAGTTGAAGGAGCGTGTAATTGATCGTTGGCATCGGTTGGTCCTGCACTGCGATATAATTTGTTTTCAATTATAGACGTGTTTCACTCACTCGTGCATAGATTCTGCCGGAAAAATGGAGAAAATGAATCAGATTGCACACGATGGAGCGACCCAGAGAATGCTCTTCGGCAAGCATCCGCAGATTGCATATTTCAATTTTTGAAATGGTGTTTCAAACTAGAATATGGGACGGACGGTCGAAAGCTGCCAGGGTACGGCCAGGCGGGCACTTTTAACACTGATTGGAAGTATTTTCGAATTTATTACGAGGACATATTAGGCCACAAGATGGACAAAGACATGGTGAAGAGCTTACGCACGGTATGGTACCAGCGGACTTATGGTGATGTAATTTTGGATTAACAAATTGTAGGCCAGACAATGGTTAATTCACGAGAACAAGCTGGGCACCCAATCTCGCGACAATGACCCAGTGTATATTGACGACATGATCGAGTTCAATGAGACAATCCTACAAACACGCAAGAAACGGTTTTACCTGGGCATCCAACGGATCATGTTATGCCTGGCCCTAATGCTCGGTCTATTTACTGCTGGCCGCAAAACTGCTATTCTAAAACTCCAGTATAAGCATCTTCGCATCAGTTTACTGCGAAATCCTCACGGGGGACCTCCTATACTCGACATCGCCATCAAACCCAAGTACATCAAATCCCTTCTTGGAATTACAAATCTGTATGCTAAACAAATGTCTACTGAGAAGATCAAAACTGATGTCATAACAGGAATACGTTTTCTTTTCCCGAGATAATTCTCGGTGTCTCTCTCGTGTTCAGCCCGCATGTGTTTATCATGGGACTGTTGCTGCATGCGAGGGCTTTCCAGGCTAATATTAGATCAATGGATGATGTTCGTCGCCTTTTTGTGATGCGTAACTGTCAAGAGTTACCGTTGCCATTGAAGGAGGAAATGGATAATTATTATCTGTTCTGCAAGGTGGATTTGATTGATGGAAAGCCATGGATTCTTCGCGATCAACCTATGAGTGATAGTCAATACAATGCGGCTATACGTGCCATTTCGGAGATTATGGGACTCTTAAAGTGGTTCTTCTTCCATCAATTCCGGTATGGCACAGGAAAAATTCTTGACAAAACCGGTACGTGTCTTGACTGCTTGTACACGGTTTGTTATTATTGACCAGAAGGCACTAGAATGGGTGAGTGACTCTGAACGCAATTTGATTCTCAATCATGCCAATACTTCCACCTTCCTCAAATATTACCGTCCCAGAAACCACACTCAGATGCAACAAGCGGTACTTGGGCTGGACCCCAATGAGGTTATCGATCGAGCTTTGACTAGCATTAGGCGTTACGCTGATAAACGACGACCACGTTATCTCGATGACACTCAAAAGGCTTTGGTGGAAGATGATCCAGAGTTGCAAACTGCTATCAGTAACCGGGATGCCCTGCTAGACCAATTTCAGCAAACTCCGGATGCCACGCTCGCACATGCTGTCGCTGAAGCAGAACGTAACATCAAAAATACGCGGCAGCGGTTGCGATATCGGAGAAAAAAAGAAGTCCGACGAGCCTTTAGTGATGAGCAAGCAGTCAAAGATGCCAACGCCCAGCTCTCAGGAACTAATCTCCTAGAAGATGAGTTGAACGAAGAACTGGATGATGATACACCACCGGAGCAGACCATGCTTATAGAGGGGTTAATGGCTGTCCCGGTAGAATGGACATTTGAAGGCGAATGGCAGCGACGCAATGTAGGCACTGAGGTTATTATCATGTATTGCGATTATGAAGAAGGCGGACCACTTCGAGGCCGGCCGAAAGGCAAACGACGTCTAAATGACGAGGTTAGACTTTTGAGCGTGGAGACAAAGCAGATCGAAAAGACGGAGGATGATAAACCTATTATCGAAAAGAAACGCAAAATAGAACAGGAGCAACCCCAGACTGCCAAAAAACCTCTAGTTTGCTTTCAATGCGGCAAGAAGTACAGTCAGTATCAAAGTCTTCTCAGACACTTCCGACCAATACATATGAACGATCGAAGATGCAAGTCCTGCGCTGATGGAATGGAGTATCTAGAACAGATGCATTGGCAATGTCATGTTGCCGCAGTACACCAGTTAAACATATGACATAGGACAGACTGATCGTTCCGAACTCGGCATTGAGTGTGAGTATGCTTATGCAATGTCACGTGCTTATATCAACCCTAGTCCGAGATATGTTTCTCATAGGTTAGAGTTCTTGAAAAAGTAGCAAAATGATGAAGACAATAGAACAACCTGAACTACGATAGCAAGTATTTACCTTAGACATGCATTATAGACATATTTTGTTTTGGTCGCCCCTCTACATGAGTCTTGTGCCTAATACACATCACATGACCCTAACTACTTACTTAACGTAACCGGACACCCACCCGGCCACGACACCAACCCGGCCACTCCCTCCGGAAAACGCGCTCTATATTATTACTAGATTTTCAACGCGTCGTTATGCCAC